TTATTGGGTGCTCACCTTTTTGTGTCTACTTTAGCAGTGCTCGTTTTTTCGTTTTGGATTTGTCGAAATCTCTTTTTAAGCTTTACCCTCTTTGATGTTTTTACTGTTTGGATGCCACCTAAAAGGAGGAAACTTTTGGGACGGCGCACGGCAGCTGCCTCCGCTGCTAGAGCAGCGAGGGCGAGTGAAACCCCTGAACAGACTTCTTTGCCACTTTCGTGTTTGGTCTCGAGCTCAGCTGCTCGCTTATCTATGGAAAGCGCCGCTGCGCGCACTGAAAAGTTGGCTTCAGCGGCTTCAACCATGTCCGCACACCGCGCCAGGCTTTCAGTTGAAGAATGTTCACTTCAGAATTCACAGGACGCAGTCCATGTGGCTAGGTTGAGGGCTTCACAGTCCCCAGCACAGAAAACCCTTCGTCGTTTGTAGGATGCTACCGCCAAAGCTTGCTCCATGGGTTTAGAAAGCCCCGAACAAACAACTTCACGTCGTCTTAGGAATACTAGGGCTACAGCCGCCTCTAGAGCTTCGGAACAACCCCAAGCTGCTGCTCATCGTTGCATTTCTAATGCCCTATTCACCGCGTCTGCCAGAGCCTTAGAAAGCCCTGCACAGACCACTGTTCATCGTGTTAGAAATGCCCGCTCCACTGCATCTGCTAGAGCCCTAGAAATCCCTGCACAGACCACTGTTCGTCGCGTTAGGAATGCCCGCTCTACTGCGTCTGCCAGGGCTGCAGAAAACTCTGAAGTACGCCGTCAACGGCTCGAAAACATTAGCAACTTCGAGCTTCTTTGAATGGCGTAACTTCGCCGTCTGCGTCATTTTGGTCAAATGCCGCCTACAATTATGACTGCACTGTCAACTATTCCGCTAGGAGAGACGTACAAATAGGGGCCATGGATAAAGTTTGCACTTTTTGCAACGCAAAAAAGTGGGCCGTTGAGCAACCTGGGCTTTGTTGCTCTGGGGGCAAAATCAAACTCCCTTCTTTAGACGAACCTCCCCAGCCACTTAGGAACCTCCTTCTGGGTACAACTTCGGAGTCAACGCATTTTCTTGAAGCAATACGGAAGTACAACTTTTGCTTCCAGATGACGTCTTTTGGTGCGAATTCTATTAGTGAGGGGAGGGTGCCTACTTTCAAAGTGCAAGGCCAGGTTTACCACTTAATGGGATCACTTTGGCTGATCAGAGAGAGCCACCTCAGTTCCTACAAATTTACTTTCTCGCTGACTACAACGAGCAGGTTAATGCGCGTCTCGGCATTCTGCCTAGCGAATTTTCCGTCGGTCGCCGTAGAGACATTCTGTTTCGTCTACAAGACATGCTTCACGAAACTAACAGTTACATCCGCAGCTTAAAGTTTGCGTTGCAAAACAACTCTTCGCCCTCTTTCAGCGTTGTCATCGATGCAGACAGACGGCTTCACGGTGAGCATGAGCGTCGCTTCAATGCTCCTGTATGTAATGAAATCGCCGCAGTCATCCACGGTGAGGAGCATAACAGCCGTGACATTGTCATAAGGTACCGGGGCGGTGGTCTACTCCGTATCAGTGAAACTCACCGTTCATACGACTGTCTCCAGTACCCCCTTCTTTTTCCATACGGAAGCGATGGGTACCACTTCAAAATCCCAATATACCAGGCAATCAACGATTCCATATCGACCTCAAAGACGGTCTCCTGTAGGGCTTACTACGCCTACGTGTTTATGGTTAGGGAGGGTGAATTTAACCACTTGCACAAGTGCCGTCAACTATTTCTTCAATTCGCTGTTGACATGGCTGCAAAAATGGAGTCGGAGAGGTTAGGATTCATCATGTTAAACCAATCCAAACTTCGAACCGACTCCTACATTCACCTTCGTGATGGTCTGCGTTCTGATGGTGACCCACACAATCTCGGCAAACCGTGCATTTTGCCTTCCTCTTACACTGGTGGCCCTCGATACATGTATGAAAGGACACAAGACGCAATGATCTATGTCCGTCATTACGGGAGGCCTGATTTGTTCGTCACGTTCACGTGCAATCTGAAATGGGTTGAAATCACACGCGAACTTTTTCCAGGCCAGCAGTACTCACACCGCCCTGGCCGAATTTCCTGTGTTTTCCGGTTACAGCTGTGTAAGCTTATGGATTTAATCCTTAAAGGGCAAGTCTTCGGACGCGTTAAGTGTCATATGTATACAGTGGAATGGCAGAAACGCGGTTTGCCTCATGCCCACATTCTGCTGTGGCTCAACGATAAGGTTGACGCAAACAAAATAGACGATTTTATTTCTGCTGAAATTCCAGATCCTGCTTTGGATCCTTTGCTTCACAAAATCATCAAAAACTATATGATACACGGCCCCTGTGGCGCGAATTACGAAAAAAGGTTATGTTGGTCAAGCGGCTCCACTTGCGCAAAGGTTTACCCCGTAAGTTTATCTCAGAAATGCAGACTGCGACGGATGGTTACCCACTGTACAGAACTGAGAGCGGCAGAACTGTGACAGTTAAGGGGCACACTCTGGACAATCGTTGGGTGGTGCCTTATTGCCCGCTGCTGTCCAAGACTTTTGGAGCCCACATAAACGTTGAATATTGCCACTCGGTTAAGTCAATAAATTACATCTGCAATTACGTTAATAAGTCAATAAAGTACATCTGCAATTACGTTTTCGGTATCCGGCGTGACAATTGCGTTGACGAGGTGGCCGATTACGTGGCTGGACGCTACCTCAGCAGTAGCGAGGCCTTATGGCGAATTTTCGGATTCCCCATACACCAAAGGGCTCCAGTCATTGTGCAGCTTGCTGTTCACTTAGAAAATGGACAGAGGATGTACTTCACCGAACAAAACGCCCAGCAGGTTGCGGAAAACCCTAAAGACACAACCCTAACGGCTATCTTTAAATTATGCTCAACAGATACTTTTGCCAAAACATTGATATACCCCCGAGTCCCGTCCTACTACGTGTAGTCAAACAACCAGTGGGTTCGGAGAAAGGCTGGCGACCCTGTCGAGGGTTATCCCGATGTAAGGTCTAACTCTTGCCTCGGACGCGTTTATACTGTGCCCCCCACCAGTCAGCAGGAGTGCTTTTACCTCCGCCTTCTACTTCATGAAATTGCTGGGCCAACGAGTTTCACAGATATTCGCACTGTCAACGGCATAAAGTGCCAGTCTTATAGAGAGGCATGCTTCCGTTTGGAATTGCTTGAAGACGACTCCTAATGGGATGCAGCCATGGCGGAGGGTGAATTTCTCAGAACGCCATCACGGCTTCGAACGCTGTTCGCCTTTTTGCTTTTGCGATGCGAACTAAGCGATCCTCTGTCGCTCTGGCTAAAGTACAGAGAATCCATGTCAGAGGATGTGCTGTTCTCCGTTCAGCGTAACAGCCTAGGAGTTGAATGCGGTTTCACTGACTTCATATTCGAGCGCTGGTGGCCCTAGAAGATGTTGTTTTCGAACTGGGAGGTGTCTCTTTGCCAACTTACGGTTTACCACCACCGCTCAGAGACGGTTTTGACACTGTACCAACTGAGTTATTGCTGGAAACATCCAACTCCATCGAGGGCTGAACATTACCGAAAACGAGCCCAAACTTCTACCTGATCAGAGGGTTGCTTTCACTGCCATAACAGATAGTGGAACTGGCAAAACTTTTGGTACTAAATTAGTCCTGGCATAGGTACGGTGTCGTGGGGAGATCGCTATTGCGGTCGCATCTTCCGGGATTGCTGCAACGTTGGTGCTCCGATTATGCTAATCAGGAATTTGCTCCCACCTAAACAGTGCAACGGGACTCGCCTCATTATTAAATCCCTTTCTCCTAACCTGATTGAGGCGACCATTGCAACTGGCTGCGGCAAGGGGGAAGTCGTTCTGATTCCCAGGATGCATCTTCTGCCGTCAGACGCAAGCATACCAATCAACTTTCGTCGCTCACAATTTCCAGTGAAGCTTTGCTTTGCTATGTCCATTAACAAATCACAAGGACAGACGCTAAGCATCGCAGGTCTGCATTTAGCGAGCAGTGCTTCTCTCAAGGCCAACTTTACGTTGGGTGCTCACGAGCTAGGTCTAAGGACAGGGTTTTCATTTACACTCCTAACAACTGTGCTAGAAACATAACCTACACGGAGGTCCTGTAGACAACCCGCCCGGTAGCGTTTAAGCGCCATGCACACATATGCAGTCCGATTGCATGGCAATTTTTTTGTTTGTCATATTGGTTTTAATGTTAGATCGACGTAGTCTCCACTTGCCATTACTAAGACATCTTTATAAAGGTTATCCAGCTCTTTTACTGCCTTCTGACTTTCATACCTTCACCCGCCATCATCGTGTTTGTTTGTACACTATGATAACCTCACCGTATTTAGTTGCAACACAAGCTGCTAGACACATGAACACCGGCATTAGACATGATTGCTCCACTAAAGTTCCGGTTTCATTAACAGTTGATCGGAGCACGTGCAGTCCGTACCAGTGCATACAAGCACATTCACACTTGAGAAGCTTCTGAGTTCGTTTAATTGTCACAAAAGTCGAGTGCGTCTACGAAATTCAGGCTTCTGCTTCGATATACACTTTACGGCTGAAACATGTCAGCCATACGGCTCTATTGTTTTGTTTGTAGTCGTATAAAAAAAAACTAAAAACACACGCCAAGTACCCTGGTCGGTTTTCATAAGCTCTCAGCCGTGATGTTGACTGCGACTGAAGAGAAGGCACTTTTTCATTGCAATTGAGACGCTCGGTCGTACGGCGACCCCGGTCCGGTTACATGCGCTCTCAGCGTGATGTTGACTGCGACTGAAGATATGGCACTTCCCCATTGCAATTACGATGCTCGGCCTTACGGCTACCCCCGTTGCGGTTTTAAGGGCTCTCAGTCGCGATGTAGATAGTGACAGATCAGAATAAAGGAAGTTATATCACAGACATTTTCTTACTATGACAACCTGTCATTGTTCGCTCTTCTCTCGGTTTTACGGTTCTGCTTTGTGGTCGTGGCAGCGCCGTCTTTGGGGCATAAGACGCGTCTATTTGTTAGACAAGCGGTTTGTTTGTGATTGCGCATGGCACATACTTTATGTCTATGGCTTCCTCACGGCACGTTTTCCCTTCAATCCCTATGTATGTTGCAACTGAATCGTGGTTTCTTGACTACCTACCACAAGTGCTTCCAGTAATGCTTAACGATCCAATTGGTTAAAGCAGTAACTGCTGCCAGCTTTTACTCACAGATGTCTTAGTAATGGCAAATGACTGATGCTACAACGGCTTTCCGTTACTTCCTTCGATACCTTCGAATACTTGGGCCTGCATGATGTCTGCTTAAACTTTGTGTGCATTTCGTTTCATCGTTTTGTAGAAACTTAGTTCCTGTCGACTTACAAATCACATCTTTCAAAGCAACAGCCGTCCCCAACTCTTACTGTTACATCCCCGGGCAACGCCGGGCTCTACTGCTAGTATATACTATATATTATATCTATACATTATAATATTATATATTATATTAAATATTATATATTATTATATTATATATATATATATATATATATATATATATATATATATATATATATATATATATATATTTATAATATAATATTATATTGTTGGGGATGTGCAGAATAAACTAATGAACTTGGGTTAGCATTAAGATGAATCAGAAGGAAATTTTATGTGAGGTTGCGTGAACTTTTCTGCATCCACAAACAAATAAACAATATCAATATAAACAAGACAAAACATACATTCAATTCAACACCAATAAAAGCATTGTTATACAAGCGTGTGGTTGCAAGAAAGAAATACGACAACAGCAGAAATAGATTTACATGATTTATTTCAACGAACGTGCGGATTTGGGACAGCTACCTTGTGGTATAGTTCATAAGCCGGCTTCGGATCTGGGTTGATCTCTCATAGTAGTTCACACTGGTTGGCGCTGGCGCTCCCTCTGCTGACTGCTGTTGACCGCTGATCCTGACCGTGACAGGTCTCTTCCCTGGCCTCTTGTTGACTGCCCGTTGTACTTCCGTGTGACCCCTTTTATGGCGTTTTTTATGGCTTAACCGACCCGAAAAACGACGCGAGTATAATTAGGAGGGAAGCATTTTTATTGGTCGAAAAATAGAAACACTTTAAAATATTATTTTATTTTTCGACCGGAACTCGTACGTCGGGAACATGCGTAAACGAAGATAATGGTCATTTTGTGACGGGGCCTTGTCCCGTTCACACCCGGCTCTCGCTCTTGAGTATGTTAGTTTATTTGCCTGTAAATCAGCCGAGATATGTCTTATTTTATTTTATAACAGCATTTATATACAAATACGATACAGGGTATTTTAAGGTTGTTAATGTGTTGGTGTGATCGTGATATATGTAGTTTTTGTATGTCCTTTTTATGTCTTGTGCATTAACGTTGCAGTCTTTTAGGAAATTGTAATGAATATTTGGAATGTAGTTAATGTGTTTTAGAAATGAGTCATTACGAAGTAGTCTACCTTTGACTACAAAATGTTAAGATCGTTCGGTGATGTTACTTAGAATAATAGTGAATGTCAATTCACTTTTAATAAGTAAAGTAATTCAGATAGAAGTTTCGTGCGTTCACAGAGTGTTTCTTCGATTTTAGCTTGCGGGTGAGTCAGTGATGATTTACTTTGCGCGTTAGTTTGCGTGTTAATTTGCGCGGCAAAATTGCAGTAGCAAGCGACGTGTATTATATTAGCATATCTCTGTACTCGTTCGACTGACTGACTTGGTCAGTTAATATTTTCCTTTTATAGGTTTTTAGATGTCCAAGTTGGCTCAGGTAAGTTTGGGCGCAATTTTATTTCCGCACGCGAAGCTTTCGAATTTCGTGAGCCAATGAGAATTGCTGATTCGCATAGTAATGTTTCTATTGGTTAAAGTTTATGTGTGTAGGCGTATCGAATGGAATGTTCTTGTTGCTAGGGGTGATAAGGTAAATGGACGAGTCTACAATATATTTCAGCACAATGCAATTGATCAAATGTTATCTTTACATAGTTCTTGAGTGTGAAACAATTAAAAATAAAATTTACTTTACTTTAATATTCAGAATGGGATAGAAAGAAAATTCAGAGCAACACAAATTTTTTAAGGAAGTATAGTGTAATTTCTTTTTCTTTTTTTTTTTTTCAATGATGTTTTCGTTGTACAAGACCCAAGAGCCACTCGGGATATAGGGTTACAGATTAAGAAGCACAGTTTATGGAGATATGTGGGAAAGATAACGGTTAACCCTAGACAGTTTTGTGCTGTCAACGAACACTCGTTACCACTTTTGTGATGGCAACAAATACTTATTGTCACTTTCGTAATGATTATTGTAGTAGAGACTTTGTAATCGCAGATACAACTATAGTACACTGTTGAACAATGCTGGTGTCAGACGCCTTTGAATATCACTTGCACTAATAGCACTTGCTCGATAATACTCACTCATATAGTAATCTATAT